AATATTGATCTCATCACATTCATACATCCATGTATGACTCAAAAACTGGTGAATGATAATGGATTTCTAGTACTAGCTTCTTCGAGCCATAAAGAGACTAGTGGGTCAATTCTTAGATGAAAAATTATTATAAATTCTTCATGAATGTCTTCATTACATGGCGTCTTTTCCTTGTATCTATTCTAATTTCTATCTTCTACTTTACATTTATTAGAAATAAGAAACCTCAAGTTACATTTGAAGGGAGTAAGATGAGAAGAGAAATATAATAGAATAATAGAGAATGTAGGACAAGTAGGTCCTATTTATCCAAAAATTTACAAGCATTCACTCATAAAACTAGATCGACTCATACATACCATTCACCTATGCTTCAATCATATTGATACATGGCATTCTAATGAAACAATTTCATTCATAAAACAATTATAAATCTATAGTTTCGTCATTTTATAAATTTATCAAAATTTCTCTAAATGTTAATTTTAAAACCTTTTTGGACCTTAGGGTTTCATGGGCTTCGAAGCTCAAACTTTCGGGTTCATGTGCATGTGCACGTCTATTCATGGCCATCGATCTAGCACGAAAGCACTCGGCCGGTGGTCTACTTGCGTTTCCCATAAGTTTAGCGTGCGGGCCGAGCGGCCGGCATGCCTAGCACGTACTACTTGTGGCTTGGAAAGTGTTGCCTAGCTCGTGCGCCCGACCAACGACTTGGTACGTAGTGCCTATCACACACTCCTAGTATGCGTAGCCTACCACTCGCTTGGTCTACGCACCTAGTGCGCGACCTACCATGCATGCGAGCGTCGACGTCCAACGTCAACCTTTTGTGCCCCTACCGATGTTTACTAAAAATTTAGTTTTATTTTTAATATAAAATACCAAAAATATAAGATTTATAATCGGGAATAGCTAATTCATGCAATTAATCATAATCAACCAAGCATACAATTAAAGATTCAATAAAGGCTCGATACCAATTGAAGGATCATGAATCCTAAATAGGTGTATAATAAACAAAAATTTTCCTTTATCTAAGGGCCCAATACCATGCCATTAAAACTACTAACTATACATACATGAATATAAAGCTATAAATACAGGATTACCTCTTATAGCATAGATCCTAATTCCTTTTCGGTAAAGTCTTGTAAGTGTCCAACCTCTATTGATGATCCACGTAGTCCGAGTACCTATAAAGAAGCACTCAAAATTAATGAGGTGCTAGCTCCACCTTTTCCGATTTAGTATTTCCTATAGAATTCAATCTCAAGTAATTTTTTGACAACTCGTAAAGGAGAAGGAAAGAGTGTAACTTGCTAGGGTTTAGGAGAAAACTATTTTCTCCTTAATTTTCTCTCTTAGCCATATGATCTCTATAATTTTTGGGCTATTCATAACTCTCTCTCTAAAATTCCTTATGTTGGTTGAATTTTCTCTCTTCTTCTATATATTTATATGAGAGTTTCCTCATCCTCCAAAGACAATGAAAGAGGCGACAATTAGTCCATAAAGGACTCTAGGTTGTTGCTTTCTTATCCTCTAAGGATGAGGACTTATTTTGTATATAGACTTTTGTATATAATGTGAATACTTAAACTTATGCGTGTGACTTAATAGGCTCCTAGATATGTTGGTAATGTATCAAAAATAAAAAACTCTTCTTTTATCTCTTGATACATAATCAAGATTGGCCTTTAGCAAGGCATCATGACTATCCAATTCTTTAAGAGGATCAGTTAATTCATTATTACCTCTCACGAGCATGGTTATCATACAATTAATTCCTTATGTCAACTTATCACGAGTGTGACCTTGAACTTGGTTATAAGTCTTTTTTTATTATGATCACATAAATTTTTTCAATTCCTAAATGTCTTAGCTCTTAGAGTAAACCAACTATACTCTATTGGTCCTGCTATAGCCATAGACTTCTTGAGCGGACATTTATCGAAGTGCAATGTGATAACTCCTTTAGTATACAAGGAATGACATATCTTATCTTAGTCATACACTTGCCTCAATTAGATTCTTCGTGCACCCAACGAATGATCCATATGCAACCCTTTAATGAGTCAATCGAAACGAATGTCAAAGTGCATAAATCCTCTAATGAGACAACCGTGATGGCTTCAAGTCTAAGGACCATTTGTACCCATCTTGTATGAGATTCCTATAGACTAAAATCAAATGGATTCTCATAACGAGTTATGTCCGAGTGATATGTTCTCTAACATTAATCACCTAAGTGATTGCTTTGGCATCACCAACTTCCATCATATAGTATGAGCATAATACTTACAAATCTATCCACATATTGTCAATATCCATTCTTAACAATGCTATGAATTTGAACGTTTAATGATACCATTTACATGCATTAGTGTTTGTCTCACAGACTTTTATCAATTACTATTGTAAATGCATATTATAATGATTTCTATCTAATTCTACTGAATTTATAAACACAAAAGCATAAGAATTAATATAATGAATTCTTTATTATTATTAAAATAAATAATGCAATAATACATTAGCTTAAGCTCATCCAAACATGGTTGAATCTTGAATACCTACACTAACGAGTTTTGGCTAGAATTATGAGAATTGATTGAGTCCTTATATGGGTTAGGTCATCGACCTTCCTCCTCAATTCGGACCTCTTTCAACATCTCCTCCTTCTCTAACCAGTTAGGATCGATGGATTTAGTGATGAATTATCCGTTGGTGGCGGTGATTGGAGTCAAAATCGATTGGAAGGTGACCAATTTGGAGGAGCAAGTCATAGCTAGGTAAACGAGTCAAATTGATGGATTTTGGTTATTTTTAAGGACTATTTAGCATTTTTTAAATGGGTGATTTTTGTAGAGTTTTTAGGGTTATAGAGGGTGACTAAATGTGTGAAAGGGTGTTGTGGTGGTTGGTCAATTGAAAGGAAAGTTTGATAGTGGGTGGAGAGATGAGTGAGAGGTTATGACCCTTTTTTTTTTTTTTTATGGCTATTGTAGTTACCTTAAAAATGAAGAGCAAAAGTTATTTTTATATGAGATTTCTAAGGTTGGGGATAAGTCATCTCCTCAATTATTTTATTTTGTATTTATATATTTTTTATTTTTTATTCTTTTTCTAATTTTTTTTACAGTAAATTCCAAAATAAATGAAATGAAATAAAATTAAAATAAATTTAAAGAAAAGATGAATATTTTTTTGGGTCATGACAACTATTGTGATTAAAGGTCCCTTAGTTCCATTCAAGAAATCTCATCAACTCGGTCAGCTACGTTGACCCATACTGTTACTCGCAAAATTTAATTGATGGAAGGGTAAAAAAAAATTAAAAGAAATACACTATTGAGCTATTGGAAAAAAGGTTAAGAGAAATTTTTTTAATACAATCAACCATGCTCTGAGGTTAACAAGGTGAGTTCCTTTTTCTTCTTGTCAGATTGACAGTAGCCATAAATTCTATTGGTCCAAATCCAGTCAAAAAAATCAATAACATATGTGAAATTAATTTTTTTTAAAAACGATTAATGATAAAATGGGTAATTAAAAAAAAAAAAGGAACCTGATAGAGTGGCTTGCATTATCACATATCACATCGTTCCAATAGCAACTTTTTAATATAATTAATTGATTTATGCAAATCCCAACACGCAATAGCTATTGGGCTAGTTGTCAATGACACATGAATAATGTTTGCTCACGTATGTTATTACTTTATGTTTTTATTTTTTAAAAAAATATGATCAGATTTGAATTAGTAAGCATTTAATTTAATCATTATTTTTTAATATATTAAAAAATATTTTAATTTAAAAACTAAACTAGTAGATGAAAATAAAAAATATAATTTATATTATTATTTAATAATATTAAGATCAAATAATTCATTAATTGGTGGATATATCAATTGCATCCCACATCTGAAACAATCGAATTCCATATCAGATTTAAAAGTTTGTAGCTCTTAGAGCAATATTATACGTACAAAACAAAAGATTAAAAAAAATGGAATTAAAAAATTCAAAATATTTAAAGAATTTGAATTATTTGAGAGTTGGAATGACTCATTTGATATATATGTTTAGAATAGTTTTGTAATCTTAGAACAACTGCAGGCAGCTGCTGCTACTTGTTTGGCAAGAATATTGAATCAAAGAATGGAAACTATAGTAGATTTAAGTAATACTTGTTCTCAAGTGATTATCAGAATTTTTTATTTTTGGGTTTTGGATTTGAAATACAGGTCCTTCTCTTTCGATTGCCTGAAGGGAAACCATGGAAAGCTTAATGGGAGACTAAACTTGGAACAATGCATCAAAGCTTATTATATGTTTCATAATATTTCAGACTTGGGAAAAACTTTGTCAAGATATATGTGGCTGTAGGTGCATAATTTACAGAGTCTAATTTAATCTTCACAAGCTGTAAATTGGTATTTTAACGTATATTTAAAAATATAAAAACTAAATAATTAATTTTTAAAAAGAAAAAAATAATTAATTTGTTTTTCAAATTGAGAAGGATTAATTTATAATTTATTTAATTTTTAAGCATCAAAATTCTGTACTTAGCCAAGTCAGTACTGGTTAAAGAAAATTTCTTCCTCACGATCTTTCTTTAAGTTCTAATTTTAACTCGACACCTCAACCTTACTATCATCGACAAAGTTAGTTAGTTTTTTTTTTTTTAACGAAGGGAAAAAAGACAAAAGTTTGAAATCGAGATCTCTTTGAAAAGGATTAAATGCTTCCTATCAGTTGGGCTACTACCATATTGGGTCGGCAAAGTTAGATGTAGCCCATTAAAAAACTCTGCCATTTAATTTCTTGATTCATTTGGGCCTTAACCACTAGAGAAGTCAAGGCCATTTTTATCTCTTTTCAGATCCACCAATACGATGGCGAGACCAAAAACACCTAGTCATTTTTCAAGAACAAATAAAAATCTTCCATTTTCCTCTCCAACCCTGCGGAAGAAAGCAATAGAGAGAGATGGGAGACGAGAAGGTGAAAAACGAAGCATTGCAAATAATAGGAATGTTTCAAGTACTGCCTAGATTGGTCGTCTTCGATCTTGATTACACTCTCTGGCCTTTCTATTGGTACCTTCCTTTCTTGTCTTCTTTACAGATACATAACCCCACAAAGATTATGTTCATTTTGTCATTTTTCTTGTTTATTGTAGTTATTTGCGTGTGGGTTTTTCATGTTTTTTTTTTATTGGGAAATTTGAATGATAAAAATTTTAAATTGGTACAATATAGTAAAGTTACTCTTAAATTTGTTGCTATCAAGATAGAATTTTTGAATGAATTATCTAGGGAGTCGAAATTGATTAGAAAAAAGATTTGTAATTTAATGGGAATTTTTTTTTTTTTTTTAACAATATTTTTTGGAGGGTATTGTTAATGTTGTTAGAATTGAAGCCTGAAGTTGTTCTGTACTATAATGCTGATTGAATGTGAGTTGAGATGTTCAATTGAGTATTAGCCCTTTGCTTTTTACACGCCTCAGTTTTTGTAATCTAAGTAATTTGCCAATATGATTTGCAGCTTGTGCCTTTCTTATTCATGGAATATGGTTTTGAACATTAGTAGAAGCAAAACATTCGGTTACTTACACTACTACATTTATCTTTCGCGTCTTACTTGTGTGGAATGATTTTAATCCACTAGTTGCTCTATAGAACCTTGCATTTTAATTTTAATTAAAAAAAAAAACCTAGTATCATTGCGGTACGTGATTTTGTAAACATCAGAATGGTGCCTTTTAATTTTCTCCTTGTTCAAATGTATTTTTAGTTCTTGATGATCTAAAATTTGATGTAATTATGGTTATGTGTTTTTCAGCGAATGTCGCTCCAAGCGTGAAATGCCATCCTTGTATCCCCAAGCTAAAGGCATAATATTTGCACTCAAGGAAAAGGGGATTGATATGGCCATTGCTTCTAGATCACCAACCTCAGATATTGCAAAGACATTTATTGACAAACTGAGCCTCAAGTCAATGTTTACAGCGCAGGTGAGTCTGCATGAACCAAGAGTCCTCTTTTCTTTCTAAATCTATACTGTGTAATGAGCAACAGAGTCGACAAATTTTTTTTATTATTATTATTATTTTTTTTTACTCAAGAACATGGCTAGCAGGGTCTTAGTTTGTAGAACGTAGTCTTAACATGGAAGGAGAAAGAATTAGCATCTAACACTGGGTTTGTAAATTGTTGCATACTGAATTTATTTTCATAATAGCTCACGATGATTGAGGATGAATTTAGGGTCTACCATCTTGATTTGAGTGATGAGCCTCTGAATTTTATGATACTGAGAACTGCAAAACTCTTAATTCTATTGTGTTGGTGTTAATTCATTTTCATGATCTGTTTCATTTGTTCTGGGTCAGTTTTGCTTAGGTTGGTGAGAAGTTGTGAGATATTAGGAGTTTCCCCTTTGTGCCAAATAGATTGGAAGGCTCTTTTATTCTGCTAGCTCTTAGTCCTATTTTGACCGTGCTGTTGTCTTGGAGGATGTTTTATTCTCCATGTTGCTTTTGTATGTACTTTATCTTCATTAATGAAATATGAATGCATATTTATCTTCATTATTTTATTTATTTATTAGAAAAAGTAAATACTACTTTGTGTGGCTTAGTTGGTGAGTGAATTTTTTTTTTCTTCTTCTTGTTATTACTTAGGAAATCTTTTCCAGTTGGACCCACAAGACAGAGCATTTCCAGAAGATTCATACGAGGACTGGGGTACCCTTTAACTCCATGCTCTTTTTTGATGATGAGGATAGGAACATTGACACGGTAAAAACAATACTGTTCCGCTTCCTTAGTCTTCAAATCTTATGAGTAGGATCTTTAAATCTTGCAACTTTTGTAATGAACTGTCATTTTTTCGTAAGAGCCATGTAAAAAGTTTCTTTTATGTGAATTGCAGGTGTCAAAAATGGGAGTAACAAGCATTCTGGTTGGTAATGGGGTTAATCTCGGGGCACTAAGACAAGGACTCACAGAATTTTCACAAAATGTGAGCAAATCTGAAAAGAACAAGCAGAGGTGGCTGAAATTTTCACAAAATCCAAATTCATCCGAGAAGAAAGATCAAGATTGAAATTTTTATGTATGCTTAAACAGAACCAATGATTAGGGCATTGATATTGTTACCAGGCAAAAATTGCATTTGGGAGAGCACATTTACCTTTTGAAATTAAGATCTATTCTTGTATCATTTATACCAAACGAATCACTCAGTGTGTTTAATTCTAGTATATACTTCCTTGATTAACTGGAGCGTTCAGATATACATCATATACATGATTTTAATTTATGATCATTTATCTCCCGTTGTTGTTCCAAAATGGCTGGAATTGTAGTTCACACAGTTCATTACTCGGCGTCAATACTTGATGCTGCTGCTGCTCTCTGATTGGCAAGAAACACATGACTAATGTCTATACTCTCTTCTAATTGCTCAACGATTGTGGGAGGGGAATATGACAAGGTTACTGATGCAAAATCTCTACATATACTTGGCTGCCTAATTTACAAGTTGCAACTGTAATTTACTCTTCAGAAGCAATAAATTGTTTCTTTATTGCCTGTAACTTGATGGTAATGATCCAAAGACAATGAGCAGCAGCTGCTAGATATGGACATCAACGCTGCCTTCTCCACATCTACGGTAACATGCTGTTTAATCAAAGCAATTACATATCATACAAGTGGTGCATCACATGGCAATGTGAGAGGTGGATTGTGCGACAATCCAAACTCTTCTTCTGCCAGTTTGAGTAGCGCTGTGACAGTTTAGATATTCAAGAGGGAGCACAAAGCATTTCTGATCAGCAGAGTATACCACAAAATGGCCTTTCTCAACTGCTGCTGATGTCCTGCAACTGTTCGAATCTACGCTCTCAATTGCTTGTGGTAATGTAATTCTTCTCCTCCTGATAGCAGCCAGCTTCTGCCATTTCTTTGCCAACTTAATAAGCTTCTTGGCACTGATCATCTTAGAATGTATTGCTGCTGTGTTGTAAACTAAGGAGAAAGATCTTAGAATAGAAGTAAAGGAAAGCTTTAGGATTTAGAATTCTGAATGCTGATTATTTGTTGTGTAGAAGGCAACTGGTAGCTAGTTCTTTATATATTCACGGAGCCAACAGTCCCTTTCTTTGGAAAGCAATTCCATGTGATCTGTGGGTGTGGGAATTTGTTTATGAGGCGGGCAAGTTTTCTTATGTTTCTTATCAGGTGGATCATGGGGGTGTCATGTCTGTATCTTTCTGCCCAGTTGTTGAACAGCAAAATATATCAAAGTTGTGCTGACTCATGATTCTGTAGATCATAATAGATTGTGTGAACCACAAAAGTTAGCAGAAACTGTTAAGCAGGCATTAATGAGAACTAAATTCACGACTGGCAGGGTCGTGCAAATCCAGTTTTTGTAGTGTAGTTACTAGTATGTTGCCGGTGTTATGTTGTTATTAGGGTAGAATAGATGAAATTATTTGAAAAAAATTATTCTAGTCCGATGATCCTTGTGATGCTGTTGGTCTACTAAAATATATTGAATTAAAGTTAAAAGATAAATTTTCACCTAATTTTATGATTTTTTAATCAAACTTTTGTATTTAATTAATTCTTCCTTTTGCTTTTAATAGATTTCCTCCTTAGAAAAAATAAATGATTTATTTTTCTTTATGCATACTTCTTAAATAAAAATGTGTAATAATTTCAAATGCAAGTTTCAATTAATTGAAAATCCATAAATAAATAAATATATGCCTTAATATATATATATATATATATATATATATTTCATAAAATTGTATATAAATATTTCTCTTTTGCGTAGACGAACATGACTGAATTTTGGCAAAACTGAAATCTGTTAGTGTGAAAGAAAAAAAGGGAATGATATTCATAGCTGACCGAAATCTATCAGTTGGACCGAAGCTTATTCTAGTGGCAGTTCCTTATTAGTTTCTTATCATTCATTGAAGTTCTTGGAGACACTGGGATTTATGACCTGGTAATGATACTTATAGCACTTTCTTAAAGAATTGTTAAAGGGAAAATATGACAAGGCCCCTCTGATACAGTATCTCTATAGCATTTATATAGCTGAACTAAAATTTTCATTAGAGTTCTATAAATGTGTGACAAAAACATTTATTGAAGCAACTACATATCTTTCATAACTTTGGGACTTTGGACAAAGCTTTACAAGTCTAATTTGACTCTTCAGAAGCTGCAAATTGGCATTTGGTGGTTATGCACATCCAAAGACAATGAGCAGTGACTCCTGGCTATTGACATCAGTAACGCCTTCTCTACATCTCTAGTAACATGGGAATTGATCAAAGAAAACACATATTCCATAAGGTCTGAATCACAAGGCAATGTTAGAGGCCCATTACTAGGTAATCCAAATTCTTCTTCTGCAATTATGAGCAGCTCTCTGACAATCTCATGGTTAAGATAATCCAGAGGAAGCGGAAAGCGTTTCTGATCGGCAGAGTATACCACAAAATGACCCTTCTCAGCTGTTGATGATGTGCTACAACTGCTAGTATCTGTTCTCCCAATGGGTCGTGGAAGTGTGATTCTTCTTCTCTTGATAGCAGCCAGTTTCTGCCATTTCCTTGCCAATTTGATGAGCTTCTTGATATTGATCATCTTGTTTAACTGCAAACTAGTAATAGAAAAGATTAAAGAGGAAACTGTGGGAGAGCTTTAGAATTTTGAATACTGATCCCGATCTGTGATGGGTGGAAGGCATAGTAAGGTGAGTTGATTATATACACTCAAAGCTGCATAAAGTCTCCATCCATGGGAAGCAAGACCATGTGATAGATACATAATAGAGTTGGCTTTTGAGGTGGGCGTGTTTTCTTATGTTGGAAATCAACCCATGAAGGTGGAGCATAGGGTTGTCTTATCTATATTCTTCTTCCCAGTAGTTGAACAACACATTATATTCAGAGAGTGCTGACTCATGACATTAATTGCAACAGACTGCGAAACACAAAATTGAAGAGAATTTGGTAAGCAGACATGAATTTAATCTATTTCTGATGGCTGCATGTAATTGTGCGAACATATAATTCATGTGGTCTATACATACTGGTAGGAAAGCAGTGTAGGGACCCAGTATGTCTTGACTGCTGTCATAAATCTAAGCTAACTTTCTCTCTAAATCTTCTCCTAAAGCATTTCTTCTCCAAAAGCTTTATGAATAGGGAAAAATGTAGCCCTTGAAACCATGATCACACGGAGGTCGGTTGGTCCTTCGCGTGGTAATCAATTCAAAACGTTTTGTCATAGCATTTTCTTTCAACTAACAGGCAGAAGGATACAGGAATGACCCCTTATGTCCCACCTCCCATACAGTCTATCCATTATGTTGTATAAAATATAAAAAAGGACAAAGAAAAGATAGCTTTAGTTGGACTCGTGTAATCACTATCCTTAAGAATATCATTTCGTATCCCCTAGGATTAAAGCAATCCTTTTGGAATTAAAACCACAAACAGCAACAACAGAAATAATAAGAACCAATGAAAGAACTTTGAAGGAGAGAGAGAGAAAGGATTTTTCTGTATCTTCAATACTAGCAGTAGAGGTGATATTTATAGGCTAATGTAGGCTAGTTTGATGAGAGAAAGGTGAGGATATTGGTGAAGCAAAATCAGAGACTATTAAACGGTCATAATGGACCTATTCGATGGTAGCAAAAATAAGAATTATCTTGAACAAGTCCAGCTTAGGCTAAAAAACTTAAATGGGTGAGCTAAAAATAGGTGTGGATTGGGCATTGTTATTGCGCATAGGGGGGCAAACAGGTCGTTTTGCCTTAGCTTGGCCCCAACTCGATTGTGTGTGAGCCTAATCCATCTTACGTGCCTTTTACAAGCCCATAACACACTTCTCTTAATAAAGTATTATCTCATGCATCTTCTTTAGCAATATGAGAAAAAAGGTTTTGACAACCTTTTGAAATATTCACAACAATCCTCCACGTATTTCAAAAGGTTTTCATATGTATAGGATGTTCTTGGGTTTATATTGAGTATAATGTATTAAGCCTAGTGCCTTTTGGGCTATGAACCGGACTTTGAACGAATAAGACGTAATTTACTAAATTATTGGTGAAATTTAAAACTTCTATGAACCAATAATCTTTGTAGAAAATTATTGATCTCACCATTCACATTACACTCCTATAACTCTATTGTTTAACGCGGTTTTGCACTAATAGGCCATACGCGTGCTTGGTCATTCTTGAGTGCTTTAGAGATTTTGCCAAAGAATCTCATAGGAGCAACTCAGATCCACACTCATATAGGTGATTCCATCAAAGGTATACTGAAATTCATACATCATTCATAAGAATATGGAATTCATTAAGAGTTTAACTCATCCTCGCTTTAATTTCAGATATAGCACCACACATCATAGAAAGAACTTAAAAAATTAATGCTATCATAAGATCAACAAGTGACTTGTTATTACCCATATGAACCTAATTCATGGCATCACCAATCACATAGGTTTGGCTACCATCACCGTTAATGTCTTGAGTTGGTTGTAGTCCCATTCCCTTCGATGTATCATATATTAACTTTCTTCCTAACAGCTTTAGTCGGAGGATCAACCAAATTCACTTCTAACTTTACATGATCAATGGAAATAATTCCATCTCTAAGCAGCTTACTTTACCACTTCGTGTCTCAACCGTCCGTGTTTATTTTTGCCATTAAAGGATTTGTTTTTTGCAATGGCTATTGTAGCTCGACAATCACAATGCATAGTACACTAAAGGTGTTGGTTTTATACCCAATGGAATATTGGTTAAGAAATTTTTTAACCATTCAGCTTCATTACCGACCAATTCTAAGGCAATAAACTCGGACTCCATGGTGGATTTAGCAATAATAGTTTGTTTAGCTAATTTCCATATTATACCACCCCCACTAGTGAATTTTATCTCATCCGAATTAGAGATCCAGTTTGCATTATTGTATCCTTCTAATATAGCGAAAATCCACTATATAGAATACCATATTTCATGGTACCTCTCAAATATTTCATTATGGAAAATCCACTATATAGAATACTGGTACCCCTCAAATATTTCATTATACGGACTAATGCAGTCTAATGATCACGATTGGGATTTTGAGTATATCTTTTTAACCTACACACTACATAGGCTATGTCAAGTCTCGAGAAATTCATTAAATGCATTAGACTCCTAATAATCGATCATACTGCGGTTGAGCGACACTATCTCCTCTAGTTGTCTTTAATTAGGTGTTTGCATCATAAGGAGTACTCACAAGGGTCAAATCAAAGTGTCCAAACTTGTTAAGAAGTTTTTCAACATAATATTGTTATGTCAACATTATCCTATTATCATTCCTTCGATTTTAACACCCAAAATGACATTAGCTTCACCCATATCTTTCATATCAACTTTAAAAGCTATGAACTCGTTTAGTACTAAGTACTATACCGAGATTAGTGCCAAAAATTAACATATCATTCATATATAGATAAATAATTACACATTCATTATCCACGAGTTTTGTATAAACACATTTATCCACTCCAACAGTAGTATAACCATCACTCAATATTACTTGATCAAAATTTCTCATGCCACTATGTAGGTGCTTTCTTTAAGCCATACAGTGACTTAAGCAACTTACAAACTTTATTTTCTTAACCATGACCCATGTAACCCTTAGGCTATATCATGTAAATCTCTTCTTCTAAACCACCATTCAAAAAGGTAGTTTTAACATCCATTTGATGTATAAAAAGTTTGTCGATGGAAGCCAAAGCTATTAAAACTCAAATAGAAGAGATTTTAGTGACAAGAGCAAAAGTGTCAAAATAGTCAAATTTTGCTTTTATGTAAAACCTTTAGCAACAAGTCTAGCTTTATATTTTTCAAAAGTACCATCGGGGTTAAATTTTCTTTTGAAAATCCATTTGCAACCAATAGGTTTTGGTCCCGAAGGTATATCAACTAAAAGCCACGTTTTGTTTTGCAAAACAACGCCATTTTTATTTTAATAGCTTCTTTCCAAAAATGTGAATAAGAAAAAGAAATGGCTTCGAGTAAGTCAAAGGATCATTATTAATAAGATAAGTGTAGAAATAATTATCATAGGAAAACCCTTTCCTTGGCCTTTTACTCCTTCTCATGGTCTCATTTTCACTTCTAATAGTAGGTACATGAGAAATTTTCTCCGATAGAGGAAAAAGGTGTTAAAATAAACTTAGCATTCTTTGTTTCAATAATAGTGTTACAATCAAGAACATCACTTTTCAATACTAGAAATCTATATGCAACACTATTTTGAGCATAACCAATGAACATACAATTAGAAGTTTTTGACCCAATTTTTCTTTTCTTAGGATCAAGAAGCATAACCTTAGCAAGATAACCCTAAATGTTCAAATATTTCAAATTAGGAGAATGCCCTTTCTATAATTCATATGGAGTCTTATCGGTTTTCTTATAAGGAATTCTATTTTGTAAATGACATGCAGATAGAATTGTTTTACCCCATAAATTATCGAGTGTAAAAGAACTAACAAGCATAGCATTCATTATTTCCTTCAAAGTTTTATTTTTTCTTTCAACTAGACCATTAGATCGAGGAGAATAAGGAGGGGTAAGTTTATGAATTATTCCTTCATTCTCATAAAAATCATCAAACATCATATATTCCCCACCTCTATCCGATATATCTTTCAATCTTTTTACTAAGTTGATTTCCCATATCGACTTTATTTAATATAAACATGTTAAAAGCCTCATCTTTATTTCTTAACAATTATACTTTCTCATATCTAGAACAATCATCCATAAATGTGATATAATATCTCTTACCCTCTCTAGTCATAGTTTGTTTTAGATCTCCTAAATCGAGTGAATTAAACAAAGTAGTTTAGATTCTCTATATATAAGTGCATAAGTTTTCTCGGTAGATTTAGTTTTAGCACAAATACCACATTTATCCATATAAGAGTTGACACCGGATATCAAGCCAATGGATTGCATTTTTTAGATGTAAGAAACACCAACATGTCCTAGTCTAGCATACCATAAATCAACAAATTCAATCAAGTAAGTAGAAGAAGATGTATTATTCTCATTCATAATAGAATCAACATAAAGTACAAAGAGGCCATGACTAAGATAACCTTTTCCAACAAAAATATCATTTTTAGTCATAACAATTTTGTCGATTCAAATACAACTTTAACCCCATTCTTTTCCAACAGAGCCACGTAAATAAGATTTGATTTAATCGTTGGAACATGCAGCACCTCATTCAAGGCTAAAGTCTTGCCCGAAGTGAGCTTCAGCTGGACTTTACCCTTCCCTAAAATCTTTGCAATGTGAGAGTCTCCAAGGTGGACCACTTCTTCTTTGTCCCCTACAAGAGTGTAGAAGGAGAATATATTTTTATTTGCATAAATGTGTCTAGAAGCCTCAAAGTCTACCAACAAGTCTCTCATAGCTGCCACGAGATTGGCTTGAAAAATTACAGTAGCAATTATGTCATCTAGGTCAACAAGATTTGCCTTGGTAGGATTCTCATTTCTCACTCTCCTCCTGCATTGAGCTATATGATGGCCAAGATTCCCACAAACAAAGC